TCTTGCAATTTTTTCCAGCTTTATTGAGAAATAACTAGCAAATATAATTGTATACACAAAGTATACAACGTAGTGATTTGAAATACACATGCATTGTGAAACCATTATCAAGATCAAGTTAATTAACACATCCATCATTTCACAGGGTTAACTCTTTTTTTATGGTAAGAATGCTCAAGACTTACTCTCAGCAAATTTCAAGTATGTAAACAATATTAACTATTGTTATCATGCTGTATATTAGATCCTCAAAACTTATTCACTTATAACTGAAAGCTTGTGTCCTTGTACCCATTTCCCTTTACCCCTAGTCCCTAGAAACCATCATTCTAGTCTGTTTCTATAAAATCAACTTTTGTGTTTTTTTTTTAGATTGTGCATATATACTACATTTTCTTAATCCATTCGTACATCAACAGATGCTTAGGTGGTCTCTATATCTTGGTAAAAGTGAATAATGTTGCAGTGAACGAGGGAGTACAGATACCTCCCTAATACTGATTCTTTTATCCCTTTGATTCATAAGGAATAATAATGGGCCACAGGAAAATACTGTAATTAGCTTGCATCTGGAATTCAATGTGGTTCCAGAAACCAGTATCTCATTCACAGAGTACCTTTTTTTTTTTCTAGGATTGGGGGCAGAATATGTCTATAATTTTAACATTTTATCTTTAAGCATCAATTATTGTATTTCAAAACTCAAGTCTACTGACAATCTAATGTGAGTTTAGACTACACTGATCAAAGTCCAGTGTCCAGAATAAGGCAGATGGTCATTCCTTGCTCTCTGCAAATATCAGGTTTCACCTGGTGCATTGTTTTCGGTTCTTGACACTGATCTTTAAGAACAGTGACAAGTTTATATACAATCAGAAAAAAGCACCAGTAAAATAGAGGAACATGAGCAGAGACATACTTAGTAATTTTGACTCTTAGATAAGCAGCTGTAATTGTGCCCTCAAAGTGGCTTTGACATTGATCATGCGGCTCAAAGATGAAAGTTACGAACAATCCATGCCAATCTGGGAGCTCAATATTTTACCTCTTCTTCTTATACACTTTCTAAGCTCTTACAATTATTTTGATTTTGGTTCTTCAAATTTTGGTGCTCTGGGGCAAAATCTATTTACTTCTTGAAAAATGAGGAACGTTCAAGGGAATTGGGGGCTCTGGGGTTTTTTTCTTTTGTTCAGAAGAGTAGGGATTCTTTTATTCAACATTGTATGTCAGAATTCTGAGTTACATACAACAGAGTTCCCTCAGGCAGCTTAAAAAGAGAAGAATCTGGGGGCCAGCCCTGGGCATACTGGTTAAGCTCAGCGGGCTCCGCTCCAGCAGCCCAGGTTCACGAGCTCAGATTCTGGGATCAGATGTACACCACTGATCAGCCATGCTGTGGTGGTGACCCACATACAAAATAGAGGAAGATTGGCACAGATGTTAGCTTAGGCCTAATCTTCCTCAAGCAAAAAAAGAGGAAGATGGGCAATAGGTGTTAGCTCAGGGCTAGTCTTCCTCAGCAAACAAAAAAGGAAAGAGTCTATAAAATGATATTAGGAACCTCACAGAATCTTACCAGGGCCAGAAAGCTGAGCTGCATGTTGTGCTATGGCAATAACCTTGATGTAAGACCCTGAAGCATGTTCTATGCTCTCCACTTTTGGCAGCAACCCCACAGTTTACTCCTACGTGAAAGTCACTTGAGATCTTATGCCCCAGCTCAGGACAGTTCAGACTGCAAAGCCCACACAGCTGCTTCCTTAGCCATTCACAGCCTAACATAGGTCTTCAAGATACACGAGTGGTAAAGTCTGGGCCATGCTTCTCTGCCCAGCTACAGAGGAGACTGGTGAAGCAGGCACTCCAGCTTTTACTTGGTTGGGCAATAAGACCATAATGCAGGAATTTCCCTAACGTTAGAAGGAAGGTCTGAAGGTGGTGGGGAGGCTGAAAATGTGAGGAATAGTAACTCTCAGAAATAGGGCTAAAGGTTAAAAGTTACAAAGAGACAACTTCACCTCAACACCGGTGAATAGATCTCTGATATGTTATTTGTATTAAAAGAAACTTCACATTACAAAAATCTCATTAAAATGTGCTTAGACTGAAAACCAAAACAGGATAGGGACTAGAAAAGTTTGGACTAAAAATTAAAAAAATTATTTTCTTTCAGAAATTTCGATAATCAAGTTGCTTAGCATTAAGCGCATTTTATTATTGCAAGCTAATTATAATAGTTTATCAAAATAGTAAAAGAAAAAGTTTCTAAATATCACTAAGCAAATAACTGCCCATAAAATCAAACTGAGAATCAATGAGCTTCCGATCATTAAAGTAAATTGCAGTACAGTTTACAAGCCTTTATGTTAAAAAAGGAATACACAAGGCGGGCTAAGCAGACAGCCACTCAGAAAAAGCAGATGTTGATTCCTATTCTCCTCACACAAACACTTTTTGCCTATGCACAAAAAACTCAATTTCAATGGCAGTTATATATATCCAACAGTAAGTGTCACATTGCAAATCACAGGCCCTCATTAACTGATCAAGCAGTATAAGGAGTGGCTGGGCCTCAAGGTTAAAAACTAATAATAGGTAATGATTTTTTTGTGCTTACTACATGATGGTTAATGTTCTCTGTGTCTTATATGCATTCATTCATTTAGACCTTGCAAAAAACTCCCTAAGGATTATCATTATCCCAATTTTATATAGAGGAACAAAAAGATAACGACAGATTAAATAATTGCTTGGATAGCTAGCAATTGGCAGAGGCAGGATTTGAACAAAAGAAACTGGGCTCCCAAATCTGGTCTTGCTGTCATCACTATGGTCTATTATCTCTAACCAATAACTTACTAAGTGACATGACCTTACCCAAAGGTAAGCCATGGCACTTTAATGTGTCATGAGTGAAGATGTCACATGAGCTTGAGCTTAATCTCCCTGAGGCCGCAGCAACTGTGCACTGTCAGAGCAAAAGGAGGAGATCTCTACTAACTAACCAGGGACAATGATCTCAGAAGAGAAATCATTCTACACTGTGGCAGCCACAGTAAAGTTGTCAAGCACACAGTGATGTTATCTTTGGATTATCTTTAGAGTGAAGAACAAATTCTTGTGGACACTTTTGCTGTTGACAGTGCTGTTGAGTTGATTCCGATTCCTAGTGACCCTGCATGGCCATGTCCTTCTTCCTAGTATGTCTTAGTCTGGAAGCTCTGCTAAAACCTCTCCACCACAGGTGACCCTGCTGGTATTTGAAATACCAGTGGCATAGCTTTCAGCATCACAGCAGCACATAGCCTCCACAGTATGACAGCTGACAGATGGGTGGTTCCCTGACCAGGAAATGAACCTGGGCCATGGCAGTAGGAGCGCTGAATCTTAACCACCAGACCGCCAGAGCTGGATTGTGGACACTTACAAGTGCCTTAACTTGTGAAGTAAAACCCTTCCACCCCTGCAAAGCTTTAGTAAACTCTGATACACACAGAGGCTTGTGTAAATGCCAGTCTTGTGGACGTCTAGGAGAGGGTTGAGTTCCAATGCATGGAGTGGAACTAACCCATGCACAATGAACTTTAGAAACTAACCCAATTCAGCAAAGACATAGCCTCTATCCATAGAGAAAGCTGAAAAGCTGGACACTGACCCCTGACCCCGCAACCCACTCCCATCCCACAACTCTGCTCCATATCCATGGAGAGTTTGAGATGGAGGCAAGGTCTGTCTTGTTCTAAACTAGAGTTCTCAAAGGACGTAGTACCTTAATTGACTTCCAAGTTACACTTTTAATTAACTTTATTCTAAAATGAAATGAAGGGCCTCAAGAGGTACAGTGCTTCCTGTTTTTGAAAGAGAATTCAATAGATACTTGAAGTGCTAAGAATTTCATCCAGTCAATCTCTAGGGTTCCGAAATTCTATAAATAAAGGGGAAAATTTTCACGTGCCTCAGCGTCGTTTAAAACAAACATGAAAATTGTTTTTTACCAATGAGGAGAATTCACATTCCAGGAGGAACTGATGATAATGTCATTTCATTGGGGAAAATTTCCTATGTTCTAAAAGTATTTGCTCTATCGATAGCCATCAGAGGCTTCAAAAATGATCTTCCTCATTAATGTTCATCGTGAATCTTAGATCCCAGTGATGGCATACGAAAGCAGCAAAAACAAAACCCAAACATAACTTTGCATTCCCTCTGTAATTAAAAAAAGCAAAATCTACAATTATTTCAACTCCAGTTTAAAGTATAAACAATGAATACTTCTCAAAGAAAAAGACCCTTTGTGTGATAGAAACAATTTGTTTAAATTTAGGAACAAAGCTGTAAATGTGAGAGAGAATCGATCTTCCTAAAAACCTAAGCCCTTGAACGCTAACGAACTGCGACAGAAGGAAATAAAGAAGAAAAGAAATGATAAAATAATTTTTAATTACTGGTTAATCAAAATGGACTTTTCCAAACGAGTCATGACACTGTTCTTGAGCAAATGTCCTGCAGATATCTAAGCTAAGGAAAAACTGGCAGGGAACATCAAGGTGGTTTTTAATCTGAGATCTGAAAATAATCATATACAGAAGGCAACACACATATATACACACACACACACACACGCATATAGCACATCTGTAAATGTATTTACTACAAGTGTATGCCCCAAACCTTGAGGTTATTTTTTAATGGTTTTATAAACATATATATATGATGTATAAATAATATATAAATATAATATAAAAACATAAACTGTATGGTTCCAACAATATGTTAAAAACAATTAAAACCAATCAATAGTGACAAAAGTAGGAATGACGGTTGCCTTTGGTGGGAGTCATGGCTAGGAGGAGACTTGAAGCTTCTGGGATGCTGACATTCTTCTGCATCTTCATTTGGTTAGAGGTTATTAACATGTGTTCTATCAAGCTGTAAATTTATGACTTGTGCATTTAAAAATATATTTAAAATATAATTTTAAAAAATATTTAATTTACCTTCTCTTGCCTTCCATTCTTTGATTTCCTGCTGGTGCCTCCCATTGGCTGAACCCATTGAGAAGCCAGAGAAAAGGGAGCAAATTGATGCAATCAGTAGAGGTTCACCCTGCCAGAGCACTGAGCAGGACCAGGAATACACCTAAGTGGCCAAAAGAGAACAACCAGCTCAGGGGGCCTTCAAAATACACCCTGGAGCCTTGTTTATAACAGTGAAAAACTGGAAGTAGAGTAAATGTCCCTGATCAAGCAAATGAATAAATTACATCTGAAATAAGCATGCAACAGAATATCATATACCATTGCAAATTGGAGCTATATGTATCAGGAGTAATGCACAGACAGAATACTGATCACAAGAGAGAACTTCAGAAAGAAAATGTAGTGTGACAAAGATTTTTATGCATTTTAAAAATAAATAAAACTATTGTTTATTGTTTAGGGGTATACTTATACAGTAGTAGAAGTAAACAAATGCTTAGGAGTAATAAATATAAAATTCAGAATACTATTTTTTTCAGGGGAAGTTAAGTGTGGAATGTGATCACACAGGGCTTTAACTGTATTTGCAATGTTTCATGTCTTAGGCTACATGAGAGGTACATAGATTTTTATTGAATCATTCCTTACATCTTTGTGAATATTTGTAATATTTCATAATAACAAGGAAAATATACACTACCACCAACACTACTACCTTCATCATGACTCTGGACTCATAGTGTATCCATTTTATATGGGGCTACTATAATTGGGAATAAAAACAAATTAACCATTCACATATGGTTCATTCTGAGCCATCAATCAAAGAACATTGATCAGGCCCCATCAATAGGGCACATCCTTGACTTGTTTATTCCAGGATGAGGGGCCAATTTTGGATGCTTTTTTGTGAGCAACTATGTGCAGTTGTGGAAGTTCCTTTGGGATAATATGGCAGTATGCGGCTTTAGAACACAACAGAGCTTACTGGTCTACATGGAGATTTCATCCTCAGCTTTGACATCACCAAGCTAATACTCTCAGAAACTGAGCTCACTTTAGTAAATGTGTATGTCTTGCATGACGTTTTCTATTGTGTGATTTTTACATCTATTTATTAAATGACTATTCTGATTTGTATTCCTTGAAAGTTATTTAATATATCTGCTTTCCTTTTGAGGAAGATGTTTAGGTCTTCTTGCTTTCTAATTATTTGAAATTTTAGAATTTAATTTCTTAGTTCATATCCTTATCCTTGAAATAATACCTAATAGAGCTGTCCTTTATTTTGTAAGCATAACAAAGACTGTATGTTGTGTAATCCCAGAGGCTTTCTGATGAGCGCTGCATAAGTTGAGGGCCATTTAACAAATATGATCTCATGCACTGTCAGCATATGTGGACTCACTATAATTAAAATGCAATAACAAGAAATGCATGGCAAATGAGTTTTCAACCTCTACCGACATGTGAAATAACTTCTCCTTTCCAGGGTCAATTGAGCCACATTTCTCACTTATTTTGCCCTGTGTCTCCACATAGATCTGTAGGAATAAAAGGAAAAAATTCCCTTTCTCATTACAGAGCCACACTATAATAATTTAATTTCATTGCTCAGGCTAAGTACTGTTAAATATGACTACTATTTCTCCGGCAATCTCCTCTCCATTTATTATTCGGAAAAATATTTGCAGCCTTTTTATTCCAACTGCATCCATAATATCATCAAATGCAAGCAAATGGTGGCTAAACCAATCATAGCATGGCAATTCTTCAATTAATATTCTTAAACAATGAGAACAATTTCAGAAACGCGACTGCATTTTCTCTCAACATGAAAAGAATCAGTTGGCTGTCTCGTGGTCACAAAACCTAAAGAGAAAATGTGAAAAAATTCAGGATCCAAATATTTGGCCTCAAAATTGAAAAGAAATAGCTGGAATTTGGATATTTTTCTTTGATTAAGATTGGCATTCATTCCCCTAAAGGAATGGGACGTAAGCCGATTTCTTCCTTCCTATAGCTGTTTACATGGCATGCACAAATAGCCCCTCCTCCACACACACCTACTGCTGCTGACGCATTCCACCGCCTAGAATGACCTGAAGATTTACTTTATTTGGACAACACTCTTCTTTCAAATAATGGAATGCGCTTTCATGTACATAAATAGAATCTTCTATAAATTTTTCATTCAATTATTTGATATCATATAGACACATCTTTGATTTGAATGGACAGAAGAAACCATTTCCGTTTGGTTTCCTTCGAGAAGTAACAGGATAGTAAAGAATTTTTGTTATTATTGGACATTATATGTTTATTAATTACCCCAAGAGGAAAGTTCTTATAGTCTGTTAACATTCCATTTTATACTCTATTTCACAGAGAATTTTTTTTAAAAAGAAAGAAAAACATCAGTGAATATATTCAACCTAACTGAAATCAACACATTAGGTAAATGTCACCAATAAATAATTTCATAAGAATGGTTTTAAGGAAAAAGATAAAGACTATTATATTTCTTTATTCTACAATATACATATATAATACATTAATACTTTTAAAGAACCCAATATTTTTTTACACCCAGTATGAATACAATAAGTGGTTGATGAATTAAATTAAGAGATAATGAAGCTTTCAAAGTTTTAAAATTTATTACAGAAGAAATAGCGACAAGGAAACACCTTCAACAACTTGCTCAACTTTTCTCATATGTAATTATTTCTTTCTTTTTCCTTTGTAACTGAAGTTTATAAAAAGTAAAATAAATTCTTTAATTGGAGAATTTGAAGAAGACAATTAAGTTAATTGACAATATTTCATTTTATCTTGTAATCTACCCTGTACTCCTATTCAACTGTGTCTTGTTTGTCTTTCGTTATGTCTTTTCCAATAAGATCCACTTAGGTGATTTTATTTTCAGGTCGTAGGGTACAGTTAAGGTGTCTTGTTTATCTGTGTAAGCACTACGCTGGCCAGTATTATGTCCTGTATATGGTAGTATCTTATTTAAAATGACTCACACATTTCTCCATTGTTCAAGGCACCATGCTAAAGGCTGAAAAAATTCAGAAAAATGACAAATGGTCTTGCTTGTTGACCAAGAATTTATAATAAATCTAGAGAAACAAATTTCTAATGAATTGATAAACTCTCTAATAATATTTTGAACTATGTTCTATGGAACCACTAGGGTGTTAATTAAGGTAGCATACAGAAGGCTTTCAGAGCAAGGGATGAGTGAGCTGTATCTTGAGGAAGAAGTGGGAGGAGGGATTTAATGAAAATGATGAAGCTTCCCAAAATTCAGTTATCAAGGATCACATCTAAGACCTATGCAAATATCTATGTTAATAGTTATTTCATATTTTTCTTCATATGATTCACTTTATTAAATTTTAAATAAATATACTCAGAAAGAAAACTATGTAGGACTTCCATAAATAAAAAAAAAACCAGTATCATCTGCCACAAAAGGAAGATGAAGTTTCTTTGTTTCACCAGAGAAAATCGTTAGATTTGACATAGCTGCTGTTGTCACCAAAGACACTGAACAGTCGGGTGTGGTCCAGGGCTGTATTCCTTCTTTAAAAAGCAATTTTAGACAAGACACTGAGACAAAATAGAGACTTGTTCGAAGTGATAACGAAAGGATGTTGCTATGATCTGACTTGTGTCCCCCCCAAATTTATGTGATGAAGCCCTAATCCCCAATGTCATGGTATTTGGAGATGAGGCCTTTGGGAGGTAATTAATTTTAGATGAGGTAATGAAGGTAAGGCTCTCATAATGAGATTAGTACCCTCTATAAGAAGAGACACCAGAGAGCTTGATTTCTCTCTCTTTCTGTCACATGAGGACACAAAGAGAAGGCAGCCACCTGCAAGCCAGGATGAGAGCTCTCCCTAGACACCAACTAGGCTGGCACCTTAATCTTGGACTTCCAGCCTCCAGAAGTGTGAGGAAATAAATTTCTGTTATTAAGCCACCTGGTCTATGACATTTTGTTATGGCAGCCCAAGTGGACTAAGACAGATACCAAGAAAATCGAAAAGGGAAAACTTTTACAAGTTGTGGTACAATTTTATTTAATGCTATGTCTATGCACATAAATATCTACGTACTATGTGGAATGTGTCTCCTACTTTTGGAAACTCTATAAGAAAAATTTTCATGAACAGAGATAGAGAGATGTAAAGAAACATCCCATGGCTGGAGAAGAGCGAGGGGTCTAATATTGCAACAAGTAGCCTTTTAAAGCTTGCACTTAAGGTATGTGTGGAGGACGTAGTAATATGAGTGTTGAGGGATTTTTCCTGGACTAAATTACTTAGTTTATACAACTGTACTAGTTTTCCATTGCTGCATGACAAATCACCACATATTTAGCAGCTTAGAACAATACACATTTATTATCTCGGTGTCTGTGGGTGAGAAGTCTGGGCACAGCATAACTAGGTATTCTGCTCAGAGTCTTACGAGGCTGCAATCAAGGTGTCAGCTGGGCTGCATTCTCATCTGGAGACTAGACTGGAAAAGAATTTACTCCCATGCTTACTCAGGTTGTTGACAGAATTTGTGTCCTTTGCCTGTAGGACTAAGGATCCCAGCTTCTTGTTGGACATCAACTGGAAGCTTCCCTCAGCTCCCAGAGGCCACTCACAATCCTGGAGGCCATTGTGATTATAAAAAGAACTTTAAAATGCATTCTATGCCTTGAGAATCTTTAAGCAGGTAAGAGCTCTGTTTTGGAAGGCTTTGACTACAGGGCCCAGTGACATGAATTCATCGTTTGAGCAATGATGGTGGGCAGGACCCCCCCACGAGCGGGGTGCAGGACAGTGAAATGATGGCAGTAAGAGAAGAAACTGAAAGTGGAGACCATTTAGGACATAACTATAGTACTATAGGCAGGAATGATGATGAAGTCTGAGATACTCAGTGGGAATGGAAAAGATAAAATTTGGACTTAAGCAGGGATGGAAGCGATGAGAAGGAAATCAGAGATGACACTGAACCAATCAGCAATTATTTGCAGACTTGAAAAGAGAGCAAACATATAAGAAATGCAAGAATGGAGTTTGAATTGTGGCTAGGAAACTGACATCAAGCAATTTGGGGAGAAGTGTAATTTAGGAATGAGAAAGGAGAAAGAAGTGCTAACTCCCTTTAAACATCTTCTATTTTAAAAGACACAATAATGGTCTTAATATATTAATAGGAACCTGAATAAGTAAGAAAAGTGAAAAGAAAAGTAGGTAAAATGATATTGGTATTAGGTATCTCAAAGAGAAGGAAGAAAGATTTTGTGGCATTGAAGACCTTTGGTTTCTTTCCTTTTTAATAAAATAGAGCTCCTAGTCAGACCATAGACAAAGACAAATTGGTGATCAGAAATTAAGCAATAGCAGCATTTCATAAATGTGAACAGAAATTTATTAAATCATGACATTTATCTGCTCACTACTTTGATAACATAGATCTATTCTATTTTTAATCCTGAATAATTTAAAAAATTACTCTACATTAAATATTTAACCTATTCAAAATTATCCTGTCCTAAATATATCAATTAAATGCATACATTATATGCAAGATCACTTTTATTAAACGAAATTAAATATTGAACTAAATTTAATAATTAAACTGGATTTCATATTAGATCAATTTAACACACAGTGTAAAAAGTTCAGTTTGTGCAAGAATGAAAGGGTAACAGAAATAAATATTAGATAGGTCTAAAAAAAGAAATGACTGTAAATTTAGTTAATAAAATATCCAACATGTAAATTTTTAAGGTAATATTTATGTGGCATACGCACATGTGTGTATCACTGTGCTGATGCATGTAAAGATAAAAAATTTTGTTACTAAAGTGGACTCTTATTCTGGAGAAAGATATCAAGAGATTCATGACTTCCTAGAGTTCTCAGGCACCACCATAGCACCTATTTTCTCTCATAAAATACAGTCAAGTAGAAGAGAAAAACCTAAATTACATCTTCAACCCATAATGAGAGCTACCGTGTTCACAAGAAAAGATGAGTTGAGATAGTGTCTAAGCACTTAACTAGCCTCACTCTCCAAGTTTATTCATTCATTGAAAGAAATATTACTGGGCACTTAACTGTGCTGGGTACTGTTCTAGGTGCTGAGGGTATAGAAATTAATCCAAAAAAATAGTCCCCACTCCTATGCAGTTTCATTCTAGTGAGGGATGGGGGAGGGGAGAGCCAAATAAATGAACTCAGAATGTGCCAGCAATTTGAAGACAAATAGAGCAGGGTAGGGGGAACAGAGACTGTAGGGAAAGGAGTGATATGTTGTTTGGGGTGGGAAGGGAAGGCCTTTCCTGCAAGGCGATGCTAGGACTTAATGAGATGAGGGAAGAGGCGTTTCTGACCTGGAAGGAGAGTTGTCAAATCTCAAGGCTAAAGGAAAGCAACGGACTCCTTCTCCTACTTTTTACCAGAGACGTTCAGGGTTGCTTGCAAACTGTCCCAAAGAGGAATATTAAATCTGAACATTCAGTAAGTTTAAAGATCATAGACATTCAAAAATGTCCTAAAAATCCTAAACCCTCACGTAATCATCAATTTAGAAGAAAGTTCTTATGCACACCCCTCAATGAAATTCAAAGTATAATTGTTTTTACATAAAATTTAAATCAAGTCTTAAATTGACTAGCGCTGTCTCTGTTTAACTTAAGGCAATCCGCAACCTACAATCCGTAACTTTTCTAAAATGCCACAGTCCTATTTTCTGCCTTTGTAAGGAGGATATACTGAACAAGGTTGATACTTCTTTGATAATTGAAAAGCTTGGAGTCCTCACTCTCAGCTTTCTTTCTCACTTGGCCTGCGTGATCTGCAGAAGTAAAAGATGTAGGAAATCCCACTGAATTTATACTAAAAACAAGATATTAGTTGGAAGTTTGTTTGGGGTGGAAACTCTAAAATAAAGCTATTTTTTAAAAAATCAACTTCAGTAAATTTTCTGAATTTTATTATTTGGGTCTGTGATTACTTGCCTTCTAGTGAGTTGGTTTCATTAGGTAATAATTAGTTGATTTTTTTTTTTTTTTGAGGAAGATTAGCACTGAGTTAACATCTGCTGCCAATCCTCCTCTTTTTGCTGAGGAAGACTGGCCCTGAGCTAACATCCATGCCCATCTTCCTCTACTTTATATGTGGGATGCCTACCACAGCATAGCTTGCCAAGTGGTGCCATGTCCACACCCGAGATCCGAACCAGCAAACCCCAGGCCACTGAAGCAGAACGTGCGCACTTAACCAATGCGCCACCAGGCCAGCCCCTGATTACTTGATTTTATACTTTTCATTTCTTTCCATCTCAAACTTTAAAGATTATGAAATGAATCAAGCTAACACAATTTTGCTCAAAAAGTAGGAAATTTGGGTGGCTCAATATTTTACATATATTCTCTTTTCCACTTCATCGTCACAGCTCTGCAAACACATCCTGCCTCTCTGTCTCAAGGAATAAGTATAACAGTGAAAGTTAGAACTCTCTCTGTCAAGAGCTCTCATCTGTGAAACTCACTTCCCCAGGAGATGCCTCCTTCCCACAGCCATGATATTACATCCAGCCCAGCATCTCTGTAACGTCTATTTGAGAGCTTGGTTCTTGGCCCCTTACTAAAATAGCAAGAGACCAAATTTATTCCAGTCAAATAAAAAACGAACCAGCCATGATGGCCTAGTGGTTAAAGTTCAGCGCTCTCACTGCTTTGGCAGCCCAGGTTGGTTTCCTGGTTGTGGAACCACGCCACTCATCCATCAGTCGCCATGCTATGGTGGTGGCTCACATAGCAGAACTGGAAGGACTTAAAACTAAGATATACAATCATGCACTCAGGGTTTGGGGAGGGAAAAACAAAAAAGAGGAAGATTGGCAACAGATATTAGCTCAGGGCAAATCTTTCCCTACAAAAAAATAAAAAATATAAATAAAAACCACTTGTCTTGTCAACTTACTGCTATCACTGTAAGTTTCTTAGGGTCTCAGCACAAAGTATTATTCTCTTCTGGATCCCTCATACTTTAAAAGGGTGTCTGCCATGCTATAGGTACCCCCAAAATTGAATTCAACTCAACTAGACTGAAATAATTAGAAGCACACACTATCTCTACCTCTTCAGTCTCCATTGCTTGCCCCTGATGTGATTTTCACCAAATGTCATTCAACAGCATTTGTCTTATTGTACGTATCCTAGTATTCACTGCTTTATCTCAACTAAAAAAATTTCAATGAAATAGAAAAATACTTCCTAAATCTAAATATGCCTTAGCTATTGCTCCCAAAACTGTCTTCTCTTTTGTTTAATTTCCCTTAATTTAGCTGGCAAGGAATGAAATGCATACCTGTCTATAACTTACACTCATGCTGTCCACTACACTGTCTTGAGTAAGCTCCATTTATGAGAAAATAAGAGCTTAAATTATATTTAGGTGATTTTCCAGAATAATAATTTTTGATACCAACTTATTCCCAAATTAAGAAACAAAAAAGGATTTTATGCAGAATTCTTCATCACTATCAAGTACATATTTTTAAAAGATGGCTTCCATGTGTTCTTTTCTTCTATTGTATTCTTGTAATGCACAAGATGCTATTATGCACGTAAGTAGTAAAACACACAGAAAGAAGGTTTATTCATGCAACTTTGAAGTTGAAATAATTAGCTCTCCTTTGGAGTTTTAATTCCTCTATTTGATGATATTTCCACAATACTTACTACTATTTATAAGTGACTGACAATATTTTTAATGCAAAATACTTACTTTAGTAGAAAATGAGAGATTTGACTGGCTATGTTCTGATTCTAATATAAGTCATTGATTGGAGGGGAAGGAAAGCCAGCTGGGATACACATGTAAACCAGGGCTGGCCTTTACTGTTATATTTTTCAATTTTTACTCCTCAATTTAAAAGGAAATTTGGATCATAGCCATGATTTGCCTTGAAAATGGGAAAATGACTTTTAGAACATCGAGTAGATAGAATACTGATTCAATAACTAGACATTCTTAAAATCATTTGCTAAGCTGAATTTTTAAAAGCAGACCTATAATTTATTTTTCTACCTGAATCCACACACTGCTCTTGATGCGAAGTGCCTACATCCCTTTGCATTACCCTAGATATCTGCCACGGCCTGAGACAGCATCCTCTGAAGACTTCAGAGTTAGCAAATCCGAGCAAGTATTTTTCAAGGAACAAAGTCACAGTTATGCTACTTTTGTGACAGCAAGAGTTGTGGGAAGGAAGAACATGAGGTATCTTAAACCTTACCAGCAGAACTCTTCCTTTAGTGTAGTTTTGAATCATTGTTGTCAATTTTTCACAACCTCTCTTAAATAGGTTTATATACCCACACCCTTAGTCATGCCTTCAAAGTTCCTCACAAGAGGCAGAGTCTATTTCTCTGCCCTACTGATGTTGGAATTGATGTGACCTACTCACTCAGTGGAATGTGAGAGAAGTGAGAATGTCCTAGTTCCAGGCAAAGACCACAGAAGACGTCGAGTATTTCTGCTAAGCTTCATTCACTCCAGCAATTCACTGTGCTAAGAATAAATGTCAGGTAGCTGCTGGCCCATAAAGAAGAAAAAGGTATATAGAACAGACCTAACTCAACTTCAGCATGGACACAAGATGACC